CAGAGACATGTTTTCCATAGTACCAGTTTAGAGTTTCTCTCAGGCAGTGGTGGCACAGTGGTTAAGAGCTGGGCTGCTAACCAAAAGGTTGGCAGTTCAAATCCACCAGCCACTCCTTGGAAACCCTACAGGACAGTTTTAGTCTGTCCTGTATCATCGCTATGAGTCAGAATCGACTAGACAGCAATGGGTTTGGTTTTTGGGTTTTTTCCTCAGGCAGTAGAGGCTTAGACAAAGTGCATGGGAACTGAGATTAAAGGGCCTAAACTGTAGCACCTGGTTCCCCTTTTGTTGTCTTTCTGACCAGAGAATTCATTTGTGTTCTCAAGCCTCACTTTTATTACATTTGAAATAAAGACAGCTATTATTGTTTTTCTTATATCGTGAGCGAACAAAATGCCATGAAGAAACAGAAAGGCCTACTTAGAGTGAGATTTATTACTAAATGAAGTTATTGACCCAGTTACAATGCATCTCAAACAAATTCTTGTGCATTTAAAACCTTGTGGATATTTTCCTGAGTGATGATGCAATTTTCCACCTAGCATTTACTGAGGTATTGCTCACATACAATAAACTGCCCATATTTAAACAACAGAATTTGAAAATAATATATACTCATATATATTAGGATGGACATTTTGATTGAGAAAGTCTACATTAGCAGTTTTCTATTTAGGAAACCTAGGGAAACACAAAAACACACAAACACCTGTACACTGAGAATCACACCATGTAGATTCATATGGAGATACACTTCATCCCCATGCACACAAACTACAACATCTATAGGCAACACAGCTGCTTGGAGAAACACGTCCACAGACTGTACCTGGAAAATCACTTTCTTCAACCCCATCCCCAGTTCGTATTCTCACCAGGAAGCTTAAGTCAGGGTGACTCTTCAGATAAAAGTCATCAAAAAAAGCTCCAACTCTTATCTATATATTTCCTCAGAAATTGACTTATTCCAGAATACATACCATTTTTGTCTGTACTTGAGGCCACTTGAAATTAAAGAAGACAATATGAGAATCAGATCATGTTGGGTAGTGTTTAAACAGAGCTCTTATTCTCTGGGTGATTTTAGAAAAGTAGGTTAGAAAAAGTGGGTGAGTTTAAGGCCACTAAGGCAAGCACAGAGCACACCTGTGGAAAAGGCACATTTTCCTTAAGGTCGTATCTCTCATATCCACTTTGTTTGGCAATTACAAAATTCTTAATCCAAGGAGAAATCACTGCTGAGGAAAGGCCCCCTACTATAAGCGAATGACCTCTTCAATAAGCTAACACTTGATAAGAGAGTCTCACTCCACACACACCTCACCAAGGAAATCGGGTATATAATCTGTAATTTACATGGTTAGAATTTCATACCTGAATTCTATTGAAAAAGGAAGATCCCAAGAAAGCAACAATTGTACCTCAGAAAGAGAAAGGCAACCTTACCTTGTCACCACATGAGACCTCTTCATCTGTTTTGTCCAGATGAATTATCTCCAGTGAGTCATCATGAGGAGCTAGGAGGACACAGATTAGCTGACAATACATTACTGTTATCACTCATGAATTATCCACAGATATTTGCTTTGCTTGTACAAGGTTATAGTGTATCAAAGTGACTGGTTAACAAGCAGGGACTGAGTTGTGGCTGGGTCATCCTATTTGATGGAACAAGGATGGTAAATGAGAGGAGCAGGGAAAATGAGAAACAGACCTTGGCTTTGTAACTAAAGGCAGCTTAAAGCAAACTGAAATAGTCAATCTGCAAATGGAACTCAAATACACAATATAGTTCTGAATTTTATTATACAAGAAAGAACCTTAAAGAGCAACACATCTGCCTCAGAAAAAGAAAGATTGCTGAGGGATGACCACAGCACTGACAGAAGAAGACCTAAATGGTCCTACCAAAAACAAACAAACAAAAAAAAACCAATATGCTGCTGTCAACTTGGTTCCGACTCATAGCGACCCTATTGGTGCCTCAAAACTCAGAATTGTGAGCTGACTGGAATCATGGGATTTCTGTGTCCTTTTCACACTAATGACTATGCCAAAGTCTGCAGTAATACGAACCAATAGCTACATTGTTCTATGTGAACAAAACCAAAAAACCAAACCAACCCCGTTGTCGTCAAGTCGATTCTGACTCATAGCGACCCTATAGTACAGAATAGAACCACCCCATAGAGTTTCTAAGGAGTGGCTGGTGGATTCCAACTGCTGACCTTTTGGTTAGCAGCCAAACATCGAACCACTGTGCTGCTAGGGCCCGGTGTGAACAAAGAGGCTCCTAATAATGATGGACATTGTTTAGAATCACTGTAGCCTCAGATACTTCTAGGCATATATGAAGATGCTAGAACTCCCTTGCTTGATGATCGTGATTTCATGCATAGCTGATGAGCACAATTCAGTAGTTCTGAACATCAAAATTAGAGCTATATGCCTAGTTTCACATTTTAGCTCTTCCAGTTAGGAGCTTGAGAACTTGTGCCATTACTTCCTGTACCTCGGTTTCTCCATCTGAGTAGTGGGGATACTAATCAAACTCCCAGGTATGACTGAAGGACTGAATGAGTTAATGTATATAAAGTGTTCAGTGCTGATTGGATTTTTTACAAGGTTGACACTGGATATTGTACTGTACAAATGGGACATATCTCCTGGGAAAACACTCATCCACACATATGGACACACATTTACAGTCACACCACATAGACTGATATATAGCCACCCTCCATCCTCCATGCACACAAATCTACATCTAAGGGACCACTGCTGCTTCCAGGGATAGCGGAAACATGCCCATAGTTATTTAATTGAATAATAAGTTTCTTCACCACACCCCCAATCCTCATTCACCAGGAAGCTCGACTCACAGTGGCTCTCCAGATTAAAGCCAGAGAAGAAGTTCCACCTTTTTTAACATCTAGGTTTTTTTTTTCCTTAGCAATTGACTCATCACAGAATATAGAACATTTTCGTTTCATGTTAAGGCAATTGCAATTGTATTAAAGAAAAAAAAGCTATGACTATGGGGGATCAGTTAATGTTGTGTGTGGTTTGCCCAGGTCTTTGATCTCTTGATGGCATTAGAAGACCAAATAGGAAACAGCAGTCAAGTCAAAGTCTCCAAAAGCAAGTGTAGAGGTCACTTGTGGAAAAGGCACAGGCTTCATCTGGAGGTTGTATCCCTCAAGGCCATTTTGTTTGGTAATCACAAAATTCTTAATCCAAAGACAAACGGGTTCTGAGAAATGAACCCTTCATACAGTTCATGACCTCATGCTGCCATTTAAAAATGCCCACTTGAATCAGGTATCAGATGGTCAGAGTCTACCCATCCAAACCCCCACCCAACCCCAGGAAAACAATAGCTAATATCTATAATTTATATCATCATGTTTCATTTCTGAATGCAATTGAAAAAGAAGGAATTCAAGATCGTACCATTTCTGTCTCAGATAAAGACAGGTGACATAACCTCGGCTTCCACATCTACTTCACCACTTGGAGGATTCTCCAATTGCCCCGCAGGAGGATCTAGGAAGACACAAAGTAAGTATCAATACATTAGTGGTATCGCTAATGAATGACTCACGGATCTTTGCTTGACTTGGACAAGGGTCTAGAGTGTATGGATGTGATAGTGAAAAAGGATGAATTGAGCTCCAACTGGGTAATCCTTCATGGAAGAGAGGCAACTGAGAACAACAGGAAAGAAATGAGAAAGCATTCTTGGCTTTGTAGCCAAAGGCAAACTAAAGAAACTTGAAATATTCAATCTGTAATTGCTACTAAAACACATGCTATGATTCAATGACAGTCCCACATCTCCTCCTGCCTGTTTTGAAGCACAGCTAAATTGTTAGTATCTTGAAATTTTCCCAAACCATTTCAGTCTCAATGCGTCCACATATGCTGGCGCTAAATTTATCATCTCTTCAAATAGGATTTTTCACTTGATTATATGCAACGTTATTGAGGAACTGAATTCAATTCTAGACAAAATATTATATTTATTTACTAATACTTGATTATGTTGTTGTTGTTATTACTGTTCGGTGTCCTTGAGTCAATTCCAACTCCTAGTGACCCCATGTGACAGAGTAGAACTGCCCCATAGGGTTTTCTTGGCTGTAATCTTCTTTTGTTTGTGTAAATTTTATTGTTTTAGGTGAAAGTTTACAGCCCAAATTAGTTATGCATTAAAAAATTTATACACAAGTTGTTTTGTGACATTGGTTGCCAATCCCCACAATGTGTCAGCAGTCTCCCCATTTCCCTTTCCACCCTGAGTTCTCCTTGTCTAATCATCTAATTTTCCTGCCCCTTCCTGCCTTCTCATCTTTGCTTTTGGGCAGGTGTTGCCCATTTGGCGTCGTATACTTGACTGAACTAAGAAGCATGTTCCTCACATGTTATTATTTGTTTTATAGGCCTATGTAATCTTTGGCTAAATTGTGGACTTCAGGAGTGGCTTCAGTTCCAAGTTAGCAGGGTGTCCAGGGACCACAGTCTTGAGGGTTCCTCCAGTCTCTGTCAGACCAGTAAGTCTGGTCTTTTTTTGTGAATTTGTATTTTTTTCTACATTTTTGTATCGTTTTGTCTGCGACCCTCTCTTGTGATCCCTGTCACAGCAGAGGGCGGCTGTAGCCAGGCACTGTCTAGTTCTTCTGGGCTCAGGCTGGTGGAGACTGTGTTTCACGTGGTCCATAAGTCCTTTGGACTAATATTTTCCTTATGTCCTGGATTTTCTTCATTCTCATTTGCTCCGAATGTGATGGGACCAACAGATGTATCTTAGACGGCTGCTCACAAGCTTTTAAGGCTCCAGGCGCTACTCACCAAAGTAGAATGCAGAATGTTTTCTTTAGGAACTATGTTCTGTGTTGGCTGTAGTCTCTATGGAAGCAGATCACCAGGTCTTTCTTCCACAGGGCCCCAGGATGGGTTCGAACTGCTGAGCACTTAACCATTGTGCCACCAGGGCTCCTTAATTTCATTATAAAGATATTAAATTATGGAAGATTTGAAAACACCAAAATTCTACCTTTGATAAGTAACTGCTAATAATCGTGATATTTTTCCTTCCTGTTTTAGTTTTTATGCCATGTGTATTTATTTATCGAGTTAGGCAGATTTCCATGCTATCAACAGCCATCCAACAGCGGGGTAGTTTATTACAGAGGAGAGGTTGAGTATTGATGTTCTGTACCCAGTTGTACAAGATAATTTGGAGAAAGGTGCTAGACACAAGTTTAATAACTAAGCGGTGCTTTAAATTCTTATTTGACACTGTTACTGGACTGTGTATCTGTCAGAATTTGAGGATTTCTAGGGCTTGTCATGATAATACTATCAAGTACCATGAAAATATCTCCCAAATTGTTATCTTTTTTCGGACAGATGCTAAAGAATGATCCCAGTGTTTACAAAATTTAACCAGAATGTTCTTCGTGGTGTCTAGTCAGACTCTTTGTTCTGACTAGAAGCATCTGGGATTTCTATGTAGTGTATTTTATAGAGTATTTTAATGGTGATAAATATGTGTGTAACGAAACGTGCCTTTTCAACATTCTCCATATGTACAGTTGAGTGATGTTAATTGTATTCATCGTGTTGTGCAACCATAACCATTATTCATTTCCAAATTTCCAGTCACCCTTAATAGAAGCTCAGTGTCCCCTAAGCAATGAGTCCCCTTTTCCCCCCCTCTCTCCCACCCCTAGTAAACACTAATAACCTTGTCTCTATTCACTAGTCTATGTACTTTTGACATTAATGGAGTTAACGACTATATCACAACAAACAATCTAATCATCATAATTATAGCAAAAACACCCATCATATTCCTGTGGCAAAACAAAAGGCATCAGTTCAAACATGACTTAAACCAAGGGTTCTTAAAATATACATCAATTGCCAAGGAGAAGGCCCTAAACCTGACTATATCGGTTTGAAGCTTGCTTGAGGAAGAAATTTATAAATATGAACAAGATAGACAGGACCTTTACCCACCTTAATTATATCAGTTGACAAATAAAGACACACAAAAAAGAGGAATAAAAGAATGAATCCTCAATAAAGGGGGAGGGGAGACAAATGAATTAAAAAGTTGAAGCAAGGATCCACAATTCAACCCAACTGGCAATAGAGTGTTTACTAAAATATTTTATACAGCAAAAAGATAAAAAGATTCTCATTGCCATTTGTGCATCTACAATGTAGGTCCTGAATAATTTTAACATCCGGTGGGAAAGCACAATTGGCAAAACTTCATGGACTTAACACTGAGTTTTAAATTACATCATAACTAGGATTCCCACTGAATTAGACATGGTATACCCCATAATATTAGGGGAATAACTAAATATAAAACAGGAGACTAATAACTATGCTTCACCTTAACCACAAGAACTATTTCCTTGCCTGCATTTCCAACAGTCATAGCACTGATTGCCTTAAAATATCCCATAGTGGGCATGGACACTCTGACACCATGAGGAATAAAAGAAGTCTTTGACACTTACAGATTGGCTTAACAAAATGGGATGCCATGGTACCCAGTTGAAATAGTTAATATGACCCAATTTAAGTGTAAAAAAGTGATTCAAGGTTTGAAATTTATTATACAAGACCTACTTGGTAAAGATTGATAAGGCACATTATGTATCCAATTGACAGCTCAGTTTTGCCTGCTCTTAAATCTGGAAAGAATGAATAGTGCTTAATCGTGGTTTACTGCAAATTTGATGCTGTGGACCCATTCATTAAGGACCTCATTCCAAGACTCAATTATTATTGAAATCATTAACTCAATTCACTCAGCAATAGTATTTTGCTATTAAAAATTTGGCTAAGTTCTGTTTAGTGGGTATTTCAACAGCCTCTTAGATGCAGTTTGACTTTGCCTTCAAAGGGACACAGTACACCTTTAGAAGACTACCTATGGGACACCTCAGAAGCCTTGCCATCACACACAATCTTTGCAGGCAAGATCTTAACTGCATCTGCCTTTCTCCAGGAGCTCAGGTATGACATTAAATTAATGGCACTCTTGTCCAAGAAGATTCATTTGACACACTCATCAAAGACATACAAGCTCAACATCTTTTAGTCCTTTTGGGTTCTGGAGATAACATGTTCCTTACTTACAAATTTGTTTAATATCATTGAGACTGTTCCTTACAGATTGGCCCACTTTTAATTTGGCACCCTACAACAAAGGTCTCTAGAATCTACCCAAATTGAAATTAACAAGCACTCGTGCTCTAAGAGACTCCTTTGTTCTAGAAGCTTAGGAACCTCCTCTAATTCTTCCTGAAGTCTCTGGACTACTAATGATGGCCATACGTTGCCAATGGGCTTCTGATGTAAGAAACTGTTCATCTTGTCCCTGTTGTATTAGAGCAGCAATTGCTGGACACATACTAGGCTCTCCTGGATATAGGGGCTCTGACAGACCCTGAGCCTATGACCATTTGTACCTAGTGGCCCCTTATGCCTTGGATCATGGAAGCAGCATATCACAAGCTTAGCATGGCTACCTAGGCCTCCTTGATGTAGGATACAGCCAAACCCAGTTGTTCTGGCATACATTGCCTGCAGGTAGGGGTGGCCTCCCTTGACCTCAGTTTCTTGCAAGATGCTATGTTCCTGGAGATTGGAACCTTTCCCTCAGGTCCCCTTACCTACCTGGGAAGCCCCTTGAGTGAAGAGAAAAGGGAGCTGATAGATTTTATGTACTGTAATGCTATCATCACAAGTGATAGAGCTCAGTAGAATGTTACTACTTTTCATCCCTTAACCAGGATGCTATCTGAAAAAGGACAGGACCCAAGAGTTAGCACAATGGCCACACTTCGAGCAGTTATCACTGAATGCCCACGCCAGGAAATGGCCCCATCTGTACACTTAACAGATTAGTGGGCCACTGCCTATGGTCTAGCTGTCTAGTCCAGCCAATGGCAGCAACAACAAACAACTTGTCCAAGATTGACCCTTTGGGGTAAAGAACATTGGGAATATCTTCCCCTTCAGATTTTGATGTATGACAGATAGTGAACAAGATACACATTTTACTTCTCAGAATTCACAGTGCTGCTGGAAAAGACATTCATTGGGACTTTCACTCCCAGATAGGCCCCGAGCAGCTGGTTTAATTGAAGGCCTAGCAGACATCTCAAATAACTCCTATTTAAGTTTCAAAATGACAAATAGACATCTCACTGTGTGTCACTATTGCCACAGACATTGATTACTCAAAATTTTTGCCTTCTATGGATAAACACTCTTTACAGAAATGCCACACAGTTCCCTCAAGTCTTTGTTGGCCATAAAACGGGGAACCTCTAAGGTTCATGTTTTTGATGACCACCTCACTATGTGGCCTCCTCACTCCTGGTCAATTTGAATATTTCATTTTTCTAGGAAGGTACTTTTCATACTTCCTAAAAGTATCAGTCATCACTAAAATAGATGTTTGATGTCACAGCATTAGGGGGTCAAATGTATAGTAAAGCCTGAAATTCCATGAGGCT